TTCGCTCTACAATTTCCTGTCTCACAATATACCGTTTCTGTCGGAGACGGGATCATAGTTTCATAGTTGTCGATTTTCGAAAGAAATCAGTACATGTATATTATTTCGTATATTTTTCATTTTATTGATTTTATGGAAAGCACTGTTCATTTAAATATTGTATCCTATGTTATAGGGCTTGTTTCGCTCTACAATTTCCTGTCTGGCCAATATACCGTTTCTGTCGGAGACGGGATCATAGTTTCATAGTTGTCGATTTTCGAAAGAAATCAGTACATGTATATTATTTCGTATATTTTTCATTTTATTGATTTTATGGAAAGCACTGTTCATTAAAATGTTGTATCCTATGTTATAGGGCTTGTTTCGCTCTACAATTTCCTGTCTCACAATGTACCGTTTGTGTCGGGGAAGGGATCATAGTTTCATAGTTGTCGATTTTCGACAGAAATCAGTGCATGTATATTATTTCGTATATTTTTTATTTTATTGATTTTATGGAAAGCACTGTTTATTAAAATGTTGTATCCTATGTTGTAGGGCTTGTTTCGCTCTACAATTTCGTGTCTCACAATGTACCGTTTGTGTCCGGGAAGGGATCGTAGTTTCATAGTTGTCGATTTTCGACAGAAATCAGTGCATGTATATTATTTCGTATATTTTTTATTTTATTGATTTTATGGAAAGCACTGTTTATTAAAATGTTGTATCCTATGTTATAGGGCTTGTTTCGCTCTACAATTTCCTGTCTCACAATATACCGTTTCTGTCGGAGACGGGATCATAGTTTCATAGTTGTCGATTTTCGAAAGAAATCAGTACATGTATATTATTTCGTATATTTTTCATTTTATTGATTTTATGGAAAGCACTGTTCATTAAAATGTTGTATCCTATGTTATAGGGCTTGTTTCTCTCTACAATTTCTTGTCTCACAATGTACCGTTTGTGTCCGGGAAGGGTTCATAGTTTCATAGTTGTCGATTTTCGATAGAAATCAGTACATGCATATTATTTCCGATTTTTAGTTTATTGTTTGTATGTATCTCATATCAAATGGGTCAGTTTTTTTTCTTTAGGGTACTATTTTTGTTACTAAATATTTTTGTGGTTTTGTTTGTTTTCTTTATTTAATAAATGTTTTTATACTTTAATTAGAATCGTTTTTTACATTTCCAATTACATATTGCTCGTTTGTCGCAGAATATAAATTCTTTAAATTTTTGAGATTAAGATTAAAATATATAATTGATTTAAATATAAACGGGGCGCAGATACCCCAGGAACGGGCCTGCATTAATGTGTTTTGTTTTTTAATTCTGGGTGCAACTTTTTTCAGCAAAAAATTTAAATTGGTTTGTGTCCAACCTTAAGATTTTTTTAGAATTCGTAGGATAACTGTAGCTTACTTATGGTGCATCTACCGTAAGTAGTTCTACGGCTAAAATCTCATTTTTTGACGCATATTCATCTTTCACGTCATCGCTAATGCCCTGCTGGTATTTAATAAGCTGTGACTATATCACAGATGATTCAGTTAAGTTTTAACATTACTCTTATTATATAACTTAAAAGTAATAATTGTTTAAAGGACGCGTATTTGACCTTCCTAGATGCAACAAATTAAAGAAACTATTTCGTAAGGACTCCAAATTCGTCCCACACGTGCCTAAACAGACTTATAAATAAATCGGATTCATTAGAATTCAAATCAGAGCAAATTAGTATATCTAATGATAGATATAAATAGAGATAAGAAAAACACTTAAGAATAAATAAATATAATTGATGAAACAGTAATTTTTAGTAACTGTATACCGGGTGCGTGTCAAAAGTGGCTCACCCCCTATAACTTTTTTATTTTTTCAGATAAAAAAATGAGATTTGGTATGTTAGTATAAGACATAAATTGGGATTTTGGTCACTTCCTGGTTCACCTGAAATGACTACAACTTTTGATTTTTAAATGGCACCCTCGGTCTTTTATTTTTACTTTATTTGATAGAAATTGACATTCTGAATAGAATGACACGTAATATGTCAACTTTGGACATTCTCTACAAAAATAGATTTTATCGTCTAATGTTTTTAGTGTCTTGTCCTAGCCAGTTAGAAAATGCTGAAATCGTATTTTTAATCATATCTCAGTTTTTTCAAATGGAACGAGGGTGGCTCATTAGCATATTTGGAAAACGGATTTTCTTACTAATAATTCGATACCACACACTTGGTATTTCAAGTCAAATTTCAAATAAACCATATGCGAAAATGTCAAAAGTTGACACACGATATGTCATTCTATTCAGAGTGCTATTTTCTTTCGAATAAATAATATATATTATATCATATATATAAATACTCGTATAATAAATACATCATACGTCAATCTATCCTAATTTATGTCATATACTAAGATACCAAATCTCGTTTTTTTAACTGAAAAAATAAAAAAGTTATAGGGGTGAGCCACTTTTGAGACGCACCCGGTATAGTATGTTCAACATGAGGATACATGACTGTGGAGACCTGACAATGACATAAATTAGAATAAACACAGTATATACCGTAAGATTGAAAAAACGTCGCCCAGTTGGCTTGGAAATAACGACCGATAACGTTCCTCATATAATTTTATATTTAAAATGACAGCGATTGTCATTTCATAGCCATCACTGACGCCGTTTTTTTCGATCGTATTGTAGAATATTCATCGAATGTCTCAGTTCGATCATCCATGATCTTTTGCATAATAGAAGATAGACAACGATATGCAGTAACGGAAAGTCATAGGCATACACTACAAATTGGCTTGGTGCAACTTTTTGGAACACCCTGTATGATTTTAAAAAAAAATTTAAAACATGTAAAAAATCCAAATAAATTATGCTGGTTCAAGCGTTTTCCCGAAAGACTAACCGTTCTTTAAATAACATATATTGTAATATTTGAGGGGCGTTTTCACCCTCTTGGAATTTGAGATTCGAGAAACCCCTCCTTATCGAACCTCTACACCTCACAGTCAATCCGTTTGCCAAAAATCAGCTTTAAACGTCAAGCAGTTTAAGCAGAATCGTGATTACTCAATGGTCATATTTTATGAAGCACCCTGTATAAATTTATAAAAAATCTTAAAATATGTAAAACAACAAAATAAAATATACATGTTTAAGAGTTTTTCCGAAAAACTCACCGGTTTTTAAATAAAAAATATTTTAATATTTGAGGGACAGTTTCACCCCCTTAGAGTTCCTTAGAGTTTAGAAAAATCCCTTCTTATCGAACCTCTACACCCTAAAGTCAATCCGTTTTCCAAAAATCAGGTTTTTACGTCAAGCGCTTTAAGCAGGATCGTGATTAATCAATGACCAGATTTTTCGAAACACCCTGTATACATTTTTAAAAAATCTTAAAATTTTTAAAAAAACAAAATAAAATATACGTGTTTTAGCGTTTTTTCGGAACCTTGACCGTTTTTTGCATAAAAAATATTGTAATATTTGAGGGGTGGTTTCACCCTCTTGGAGCTGGAATTTCGAAAAATCCCTTCTTATCGAACCTCTACACCCTAGATTCAACCTGTATGCCAAAATTGAGCTTCTTACGTTGAGTGGTTTGAGCAATCCACCCTATATACACTTGCAATGATTGTGATGCCGTGTACATAGGACAAACAGGTAGAAATTTAGATATAGGGATTAAAGAACATGTAAAGTCTATTAATAATCTCCAGCATAGTTCTGGTCTTGCAACTCATTGTATAGTAAATAATCACAAAATTAATAAAAACTCAATTAAGTTACTACACAGAGAAACAAAAGGTAGACGCTTAAATTACATTGAACAGTTAGAAATACTAAAATCTGTTAAAAACGAAAATAATGTTAACGACCAACAAGGATTTCTAAACACATTTTTTATAACCCCTATTGTAAACTCTCTGAACCCACCCCCATAGCAAATAAATATATAGTTACAGTGTAGTTAGACGATTAGTTCTTAAAAAACTCTTGCAAAAGGCCTAACAAGCCGAAACATATATGTAGAGTTAAAGTTACTCTTATTAAAAGTTTTTTGATACATCTAAAAGCGTGTTTTATTAAACTAATATTTCAACGATGTTTCACAAGGAACCAACCACAGCTTCAGTAGAATTTGAAAAAGTTGAGTTATTGAATGTTATTGCACCCAATAACGCCCTAATTACGCCTTATTCTTTTTCACCTATTTTTTACTACCCAAAACAGCGTTACATCACACATATCTCGTACCTCAGTATTTTATAGTCTGTCTCAATAACTGCACCAGCAAAAAACTAAAATACTTAAATATTATGACGAAGCCACGATTTCAATATTACTTTAATGCGATCAACATGAACTGTAACCAGAACGGTGCGAAATACATAGCGAAAATTTCTGGTTTCTGCCGTATATAGCGCCGCGGTCGGAATTTTTTGAAATCAACTGAAATGCAGACTATTGACTGGACAGGTAAGACTGACAGGTAAAACTTTGGCAGGAATGTGCAATATTTGCATACAGGGGGATACATATAGTTGAGAAATTAATTATAAATTAAACAAATTAAAATAATTACAGAAATGCGAAACGAATTCAGAAAATTTGTCAAAGAGAAACATCAAAAAAATCTGACAAAAAGTGTTTTAAAAAAGGCCGAAATGACATTCGTTAATTTTTAAATAATATATAAATATCACTAAAAAACACTAGTTATGACTCCTTTTATAGTATTTTTATTCAAAGCCTTCAACCTGTTAGAAGAGCACCATCCTGTTGAAAACTTCGCGATGATATCCTCTCGTATTACTCCTTTTATTATCTATCTTTTCATATCCATTGTCAAGAGAGAGACAGATATGCTCCTGCGCTAATCCAACGCAACTTCGTCCTTAAGAAAAGCTCTCGCAGCATCGGACCAGCATTGAGCTTTTCCGACTGAATTTTCTCTGTCAGTTTCCAGCGGGTGTTCGGCACGATCAGACCCCAGTTTCCCAGTCGGTGGAAATGCTCCAGCTGATTAAACGCGCGGACTCTCAGTGAAGGAAAACCGTTAAAAGTTTCCGTGGACTTTTTCTATCTAGTGTTTTCCTTGGAAAGTTTATTTTTCTTGGTCGTTGGCTTTTAATTTTGTGACTGAATATTTCATTTTCGGTTATAAGATTTTTTTGTGACTGTGATATATAAATCTGGAGTAAAACTGTTTTAATTTGTTTGAATAGACTTATAGACGTATTTTCTTAAGAGGATTGGTTAAAAGTAAGTGGCATTTTCTTTTGAATTTTTATAATGGTCAAAACATATTTTTAAATGTTTTGTATTTTTTTATTAGAAACTTTAATTTTTGGTTCTTAACTTTTAATTTTGTTATTGAATATTTCATTTTCGGTTATTAAGTTTTCATTTTGTGACTGTTATAATATAATCTGGATTAAAAAAACTTTCTTAATTTGTTTAAATAGACCTATTTAAAAAAATGTTTGAAAGACTTTTCTGTAGTGATCTTCTTAGAGAGTTTATTTTATCTTGATTGTTAACTTTTTATTTTCTGACTGTGTTATTAATCTGGAGTAAAAACTGTTTTAATTTATTTGAATAGACTAATATTTCCTTAAGAGGATAGGTTAAAAGTTTTTGTGGACTTTTCTATTGTAATTTCTTTAGAAACTTAATTTTTTTATTGTTAACTTTTAATTTTTGTGACTGAATATCTTAATACCGGTTTTTTGATATAATAAATAAAATAAGTTACAGAGGTGAGCCACTTTTGAAAAATACCCGGTATATAAATAAAAAAAAATTATAACCACCACTGCGTTTATTCCAAATCAAAACCAGCTTGCCAGTGGTATTTTACTAGTGAAAAAAATTTGCTTAACCGACAAAAAATGGTCAACGTTTCAAGGGGTGTATTTGTTCCTGTAGTCAGAAGCAAAAAAGAAACAAAGAAAAAAAACTATTTATTTACAACCACATATGTACTTAATACTGACATTACTGACTTTTAAAAAATTTGAAAGTGTTAAATTATCTATATTTGTTCTCTCTTCACTCGGTTTTTCTTATGTCTCGCCTCATTTAATTAAGCAAAATCTTCTTGTAACATCTTTATTAAATACTTATCTAACATCAACAAAAATAAACAAGAAGATTAACAATAATAATTGAAGATTTTAATACATTTATTTGTTGAAGGTAAAAATTCTAGACTTCTTTGGCTTAAAACCTACATTCTGGCGTTTTAAAAAAGCGACGAGTTTGTGATATTTTGATATGTCAGTCTTTTCCCTTAATTCTAGCATTGTCCGTATCATGCTGTACGTAGCCCAAAGAGTAGATGGCTTTTTCTGCCTTGCCATCTCGCTAAAATATGCCATCAAGACTGTCCCCGAAGCAATATTCTTAGCATTTCTTTCGGCACACCATTTTCCGTATACTTTCAATGCTATTTCATATCGCCCCCTACTTTTTTCTGGAATTAAACTGGCTTCTGCTCTTTTTGCAGCTTCTGTAAGTTCTAGTAGAGTACCAATATTAAAGTAGTCTTCATTATCAGAACTTTCCGACAACATTCTGGCTTTTATGTTATATAAATTCGAAACAGCGAACGAGAAATTCAAAACTGTCACTTAGTTGTTTGTTTTGCTGTTGAAGGTTTGCGCCATAACAACCATTGGTACCGGTAACTATACGAGCCCTAACAACTAAATGTTCGGACAAACACAAATTTATTAAAAACCTTTCTTATTAGTTCTAATTAACTTAATTATTTACATTTAAGAAATACATTAAAAGTATATTAAAATCTAACATTTCTAACGAGTATTTAAATAGTTTAGTTTCTATAAATATTAAAATAAACTGTAGGCCAATAAATAATCAAAAAGATTGCAGAAAATCGTGACAACTAAATGTTCGGACACTTTAAAAAATAACTGTTCTAATATGGCGTTACATCGACATGAACTTCTGCAACCACTGCAAGCCTGTTTGGCATGGTTTTTATTAATTATTGACATACGCCAGAGTAAAAATTTTGCCATAATTCACTTAATATCATCGTCAAATGGGCAACGGTTTCTTGAGGATCGTGGCACAATTTTTGTTTTGTTTTCTGCCACATGTCTCGATAACATTAAGGTCCGGACTGTGCGAAGGCCATGAGGGGACCTTGATGTTCATGTCCCTAAACCATTTTTTAGTAGTTTTAGTCATATGGCATGCCCCGCCATCCTGTTGAAATATAAAATTATTGTCCTGGTCTTTACCAGAACAATTGGTTACAAGGACCTTTGTTTTTCCCACTTGACACAAGAATATTTTTCAAAATTTTTTGATTTTTTGACGCATCAATTATGCTTTCTACCACCTCATACTTTTCTGGGCCTATTTTGGACATACTCCTTCAAATCATAATGCCTTTAGGAAATTTCACTGTTCTCTTTTGAGGCAATCTTTATCAAATAGACACTCTAGCGGTGTTAATTATATTGATCAGTGGCGTAACTATCGATGTGATGACCCGCGCCCTCGGGGGCTCAGGTCGCATTCCCATATCAATCACATGTTATCGCGAAACAAGCAGAATCGGGCGATCCCGAACTAAGTTCTTATCTATCACATGTCTTCTTAACTACTTAACTAGCACACGCCATCGCGAAAATAACTTATTACTTTACACTTGTTCTTGTGCAATTTTGTAGCTGTGTTTTCCTTTTTATTTTGCAAAATAAAAATAACTGGAAATATGTGATTTTTCATTAGAGCATTAAATTTGACAAAAAAGGAAATTTGCTGTATTGTCACTGGATTTCTGTATATATCATCGAATAGAAATAGAACTAAGCTAATTGTAGCATCAAAAAGAGCATGAAAAATTATATTGGCCAAACTAGTTAACTCAAAATCACAAAAACTCTAGTTACCTAATGGTTGTATTAAGGGGACGATAAGGCAGCTGAGTTACGAGAGGTGCCCGAAACTGCCACTTTTTTGGCAATTATTTCAATAGAAAATGAAGTTACTCGTACAATAGACATTGGTAATATTGTGTCAACTTTCGCCCATGCTAAAGCAAGGAAAAAAGAATTTTAACATGTTCATGTCCCTATTTACATTGTTTATTTTAATTTAGTTAGTTTTGTTGTTGTTTTTTGTTTTGTTTTTATTTATTTTTTTATTTATTTGATATTTTATACGTTTTACATTTATTTATATGTTACATATTCGGTGTTGCAGTAATAAATAATACTATATAAAAATGAATTTGATAATGTTATTTCTAACCTAAAATATGAGTGCATATTATTCAGATTAGTATATAAGTATTGAAAAATGTAGGTGTAATAGGGGGCCCGGTAAAATTTTTGCACACAGGCCCGTGAGTCTGTTGTTACGCCACTGATATCGATATTAAGGTGGCTCATGTGCACATGTAATCCGTGCACTTGCCATTTGCGATTGGAATTATTAGCGTCGGATTGTGAAATAATTAAATATTTTACCTAGTGTCATTTTTGTAGTGTGTGACATCAGAAGTTCCAATCCGACGCTGATAATTCTAATCGCAAATTGCAAGTTCATGGATTATATAGTCTGTCCAACGAGAAGATCCTTGACAGTGATAGATGTGTCTGTCATTTTAATTTCAAAGTAGTTTATTTTATTTTACAAAGAAATAAGTTGGTACAACTGGAACGCATAGCATGAAATTAATATATTTAAAATTTGACTGACAAGTGATTACTTCAAAATATTGTGAAAACTGTATAAAACTGAAAAAATGTAATCCAGTTATTTTATTTAATAAAAAACGGTATGTGTTAATACAACACAAACAAGAACAAGACACCACATACCAAAAAAATATCAAAAAGAACTATTTCTTACTTTCAAGCTTTATGAAACTTCCCGCATTTACGATTATATTTATCAATATAACTTATGTACATATACAAATTTGTAATATTCTACAGGAATAAATAAAATAACATAAATAAAACAAACTATTTTATTAATAATAACACTTACCAAATTTTATACCTTAAAGGTTGATTAATTAACTTTAATCTTAATTTTTTTAAACCAGTACTTTTTGATATTATTTTTCTGCAGTACTAAAATCCATTATTTACCTATCGTGTGATGTCGATATTTTACAGCTACTCCAGTTTTTAGTATGTGTTTAGTACGGTCCTTCTACCATATTCGAGATGCACTTATCTACGACGAGATGGTATACGAACTTTATTGATGGCAGATTGATGGTAACTTTATTGGTGTATAAGACTTTCTGCTTGGGTAGCGAGTATTAACCATAAACACTGTGCTCTAGGTCTACAGTTAATTTTAACTCGATTTTTCTTCCACTTGACTTCAAAAGAAACAAAACACACGTAATATCACGAATCAAAATGCATCATCTTCCAAAACGCAGAGTATTTGACAAAAGTTGACACAAAATTATAACAATTATTACAATTTGGCAAGACTTTGACAAGCGTCAAAAATCTAAAGGCGAGTTCATACGCATCGGCATCCGTTTGTCGTTCATCGTTCCGTCAAACCAATAAAATTGAAATACGATCTGTCATTTTTGAAATAAACCACTAAAACTGGTTAAAAACAAAAAGAGGCGACGCGGATTATATCGACGGATTTATATTTAAACCCATAGTTAACTTAAAAATTATTAGAAACTTTTTTTAGTAAAATAAATAGATTGGTATGGGACGTCATCTGCTTTTCTTCTATCATCGTCTGTCGAAATCTTACCTGAGAAAAAAAAACAGAGTATATATGCACGCATGCATGATCTTTATGAAATATGGACAGTGGAATTTCCTAAAGACATTATGCTTTTAGAGTTTATGTCCGCAATGGGTCTAGGAAGGTATGAGGTGGTAGAAAGGCACAACTAATGTGTCAAAATATCAAGAAATTTTGAAAAACAGTTGTGCCAAGTGTGAGAGACCTTTACCAGGATATGAATTTTATATTTCAACAGGATGGCGGGGCATGCCATATGACTAAAACTATTAAAAAATGGTTTCGGGACATGAACATCAAGGTCCCCTCATGGCCTTCGCACAGTCCGGACCTTAATGTTATCGAGACATGTGGCAGAAAACAAAACAAAAATTGTGCCACGATCCTCAAGAAACCGTTGCCAATTTGACGATGATATTAAGTGAATTATGGCAAAAATTTTACTCTGGCGTATGCCAATCATTAATAAAAACAATGCCAAACAGACATGC